AATATGCTTTAACAAAATACCAATCTCAAAATCATTTACTAAAACCTCAAAACACCACAATTAATACACCAAAACTGAGACCAGAAACACAAAACCTTTGATCTGCTCACGCCTCCGGTGGGTCTGCTCATGCCTCACGGTAGGTCTGCTGAAGCCTCACGGTGGGTCGCCTCACGGTGTGTCTACTCATGCCTCACGATGGAGTCTTATGGAGTGTTGGGCACTGGCGAACGACGAATGTAGCTCACGGTGTGGATGGAGTAGCTCACAGTGGGTTTGTTGAAGCCTCACGGTGGGTCTGCTCACGCCTCATGGTGGAGTCTGCTGGAGTGGTGGGTGCTAGCGAACGACGAACATAGTTCACGGTGTGGATGGAGTAGCTCACTGCGACTGGACAATAGATGGAGTCAGCTGCTCTGCTCAGTAGTTCACGGTGGGAAACTAACGAACTGTGGATGGAGTCACGATGTGGAAGACTGGAACTGCCGGCGAACTTGAGTCTTGAACTTTGGTCTTTGGAAGTGACGAACAAACGATTGAGGATGATTTGAATTTTGAAATTTTCAGATTTGGAGAATGGAGGCAGAGAACAAGAGAAAGACGAAAGCGTGACTGCGTCTGCGTGAGGACTGAGGATAAATTTTTTTTGCTTTTATATTTAGGGTTAAACCGGTTTAAAAACTGGTTTTCGGTTAACCGATTTGAGTTTGTTTTCAAACCAAAAACCGAATCGGTTTTTCGATTTTTTGAAATCCCCAAACAGAAAACCGAACCAGTTTGTAAAAAAACCTAATTTTTGGTTCGGTTTTCGGATTTTTTATCCCACCCCTAGATAAAATGATGAAAATATATGAATTAATAAGAAAATGGAAGTATATCTGGATGTAAAAGATAAGTGGTGTGTTAACAAATGTGTTTAAATGAAGGTCAAATAGCACATTTATAATAAAATGAATCATTTCTTACTGAGCGATTAGCGCTCACCCTTTCATTATTGATTGCTTTGCAGGTAGACCAGAAGCAAAGGATGCTAGAGATAGTGGGGCTACACGTGAGGGGAGATGAATTATTGTCATCTTGATGTTTTTATCTTGATGTAAATAATGTAAATGATAAATGTTTGTGAAACACCTTTGGAAGCTTCCACCCTATAAATATGTTTTGATTGTGTAATTTCTAGATAAATTCTTGAAGTTTTTGAAATTAAAAGTTTGGATCCTATGTGACATCTTATATAAATGTTTTGGATATTATTATTATTATCATCATTACACAGGTTTTTCTAAATACAACTCGTTCTTCAGACATATATCCCTTGGATTCTCATTGAGGGATATTCAAAGGATACCTAACTGGAGAGGGGTTTTACACAATCCCAGGCCCAATTGGGAGCTTGGGACCGGGCCATGCCTAAGTCTAGTTTTGCTTATGAAATGTAAAATATTATTTTAAGCCAATGAGTGAATCCAACGGTATTCAAACACAGTTGTATCAAGGTGGTCTTGACTATATTATATATATATAAAGAGTAAAAACTCTTTATAGTGATACTCTATATAGGAATAAACTCTACATAATCATAAAAAATTCTAGTCCTAATTTGGGATAGTTATAAATAAGAATAAACTCTACATTGTAATAAGTTATAATTTTTCTAATTCCCATCTTAAGGAAAGTTGCCTCCACATAGTAATAATTATCTATATATTATCAAAAAATATATGTTATGTTACATTAAAGGTTTAAGATGAAATAAAATATTTATCTAAAGTTGTTTGAGACAATGATTTACATTTTAGAGTTGTTACCACATCTTTTACCTTGTTAGTATGTAATAACTTGCTAGCATGGACACGTTCTTGTTGAAGCCAAAATATTTTTAGCTTCTCAAGCATGTTTAGAGCTTCATGTCACGAAACTTTTTGTATTTCCGTACTATCATCCTTAGGATTATTTCCTTTATTTCTTGTCTAATTGTAGCAATGATTTCCTCTTTGGTTGAAGCATACACGATTTGTTGCTCATTTGGATGATCGAGGAAGTCATTAATATCCATTTGATTAGTGTAGTGAAATTGTCGAATCTGATCACTTAATTTTGCAGTGACTCTTTTATTTTTTTGTCAAATCTGATTACTCAATTTTGCAATAACTCTTTTATTTTTCTCGCCCACTTCATTTGTAACTTACAATTCATCAAAATCTAGAGTCATAATTTTGCAATGTTTAAAACCATTGGCAATTGTCTGTGGTTTCACATCAGTTGACCATAAATCAACTGCATTTATAGTTCCATCAATGACACTTATCTTTGTTGGTTCTAAAACATGGTCTTCTATTTATTTCAAAAGTAGGCAATTGAAGCACTGAATTGAAATTCTAATACTACTAAAATATGAATTGAAATTCTAATACTGTACTACTAAAACATGAATTAAAAAATAAGAAATCAAAACTATAATTTTTTTCATTACACCTCCATTATATTATAACTTCCTTATAATAATAAAATTAGTTAGTCCCACCATTATGACTATAGAGATGCCAAGATTATACTTAATAATCGTTGGATCCTTATATGTAAAATATTATTTTAAGCCAATAAGTGAATCCAACGGTATTCAAACACGGTTGTATCAAGACGGTCTTGACTAAAGAATTATATATATATATATATATACAGTAGAACCCCTCTATAGTTATGATGTTGGGACTAATTAAATTTATTACTATAAAGAGGATATAATTAATAGAGTTGTAGGTACAAGAATTATTGTTTTGATTTTTTATTTTATAAATTGTGTTTTAGTAGTATTAGGATAGTACGGAAATTGATATAAAAAAGTCACTGTAAAATTGAGTGATCAGATTCGACAACTTCACTACACTAATTAAATGGATATTAATATCTTATTCAATTATCCAAATGAGCAACAAGTCGTGTATGTTTTAACTGAAGAAGAAATTATTACTTGAATTAGACAAGAAGAGGAAGAAGATAATCTTGAGGATAATGGTATGAAAATACCAAAATTTCATGCCAAGAAGCTCTAAACATGCTTGAGAGCTTGAAATATTTTGGTTTCAACAAGAAGGTGTTCATGCTGGCGGCTTATTATGTACCCGTAAGATAAAAAATATGGTAACAACTTTAAAATATAAATCATTGTTCCAAACAACTTTAGATAAATATTTTATTTCATCTTAAACTTTTAATGTAACATAACATATATTTTTTGCAATATACATATAATTATTACTATGTAGAGACAAGTTCCTTAAGACGGGACCTAGAAAAATTATAACTTATTACAATGTGAAATTTATTCTTATTTATAATTAATCCAAGTTGGGACCGGAATTTTTTATGACTACATGAAGGTTAGTCCTATATAGAGTATCACTGTAGAAAAGTTCTATTAGATATATTAAATTAAAAAAAATTATTAACATAAACTTCATACGAATATAACAACATAAATTTAACTGTTGATTACCCAGAAAAGTCTACAATTAAGAACATTACAATATTTAAATATAGAAATTATAAAACATCAAAGTTTAAAATCCAGATAATGGATCGAACACTAGTACTAATATTTGAGCTATCATTCAATTAAAGTTAAAAAAAGAAGTGCATTTCTTTGTAAAGGAAAAAAAAATACATATCTCATAACCTGAATTTTTTTAATAAAAAAAAATTCATTTTCAATACTATGCTAAAAGTCTTGTTTATATACATATAGTATCTGAAAATACAAAACCAAGAGAAACCGTTAAACATCCAACACATATATATAATTGCATCAAAAGAGATTAAAAAAAAAAAAAAAAAAAACTAATATATATGCATATGATCATATAAAAGTGTAAATATATATAAATATAGTTGGTGTTTATTTTTGTCAAAGAGGCCCAACAAGGCCTAAGAAAATTTCAAGACCATTTTCGGGTATGAGTAAGGTATATTGGTTTTAACTATCTTTGGATAGTTACGTGATTTGATCAGAATTCTTAAGTGTATTGTTTAAAAGGTCTTAAGTTCGATTTTTTTTTATTATTAATAGGAATACTTACTAAAGCTCTCACCGGTCAATAGTTTTAGGATCCTAAAGAATTTATTAAAGTGTACTAAGCTGACACAAGCATCTCCAATCATTAAAAAAAATAATAATAATAAAAAAAATAAAAAAAAAAGAAGAAGGGTATATTAGGTTTCATTCAAAGGTCTTTTTTCTTAATCCTTTTTCCGACACCAATAAACCTAAGCCATTTCATGAAACATTTTTAGTATGTTGTGATGTGATAGGATAAAGTGTCCAATAGGGAAGTGACTTTTAGCCTTCAAATCGATCAGTATCCCCGTTGCTAAAATATACTTTTATTATATTTAAAAAAAATTCTCTTAAAACCTATTTAATACCTAAAATAGCCTTACTTAATCAGGTTCAATTAGGGTTTTTACTTGCATATTTTTTTTTTCCCAATTTCAAGCTTAATCAGAGTTTTTGTTTACATCATTTTTCCCTAATTTCTTTATTTAGGCTTTTTGTTTTCACCATTTTTTTCAATTTCAAATTTCAAATTTACTTTTCTCTTCTTCAAATTCATATTCAAATTCACCCCGTTGTATAATTATATTCTTCATAATATTAGTAATATAATTTCATCGAACAAAAGATTTTTTGAAATGAAAAAAATCTTTCAATGATTTAGAAAATTTAGATTTTAGCGGTTATTAAAAATTAAAAATAAAAAAAATAAAAAAAATAAAAAATGAGGGTACTTGAAAATTATTATGTCATTAAGGTTAAACTTGTCAAAGCAAAAAATAAAAATAAAAGAGAGGATAATGATCAATTTGATGAGAGCTAATCCATTTCTGTCCAATAAAGCTTATTAAAAAACGGTTTATTATTTTAATTTTCTTCCTAAATAATTATTTTTTATTTTAATTAAATGTATTCTAGGGTGTTCTTTTCTATAAAAAGAATATATATACCGTCATCCTCTAGTGGAATCCATGAAATAGTGATCGGAGAAAGAGATTATCTTCGGTGACTATATTGCCCTATCAATCGCAGCTGCAAATCGACGAAGACAAGGGCACACCCGCCTTCGACGATTTCTGAGAAGCCACCCATCCACTTCTTAGCATTAGCATGTAAGCTACTCATTGTGTGCTATTGCATAAATTTCATTATATATGACCTTCGTTACTGATATCGGTTTTAAAAGGTTCTTCCTTTTGGAGATTACAAGGGTTTATAATAGTTTTAAGTATTTGTTATTCTCTGTACACGTAGGTTACGTAGTTTTATTGCTTAAATTTTACCTTACTTGTCTTGGAATGCATGTAGAACCTTAGTTGGAATGAACAAGGGGTTGAACTTAGCTTATTAGCCCAATATTTTTGGCTTACTCCATTGTTTTACAACATAATTTATGCAAACTTATAACCAATCGATCAAGTGCCCAGGTTTCCAAATAAAAAACCCAGGTCCATACCCTGGTCTGGGTATACTGTTTATTAGCCTGACCGGGTCTACACACTGATAAAACTCTGAAATTTGACATCCATAGTTATTTCATGACTTTGAGAAAATAGTCTGTAAAAATGGGAATTAGGTTTCTATTTCCGAAATTAGTTGGTTCTCATTGTCAATTTGCGAATTATTCAGGATTTACTAAACTATTTCTGATTTTAAATTAATAATATAATTTTAATTTTAAGAAACTAATTAATATAAAGAGATTTGGTTGGGAAAACAAATTTCCTAACACTACAGTTAAAATAAAAATTTCGGCCTCCGCTGGTCACCTACTGTTTGTCTTCTTTAATTTATACTAACACTTCACTTCAGTTTTTGGCTCAAACTTCACCCATCTTTATCTTTATGGCTTATTGGCTTTTCTACTTCATCTTTCATAAGATTAGCGTTTCTTTATCTTTTGTACAATTAAGAGTTTTAGTTTTTTAATAATATTTTACTAACGAGATTTTAGTTGCTGTGAATTTTAATTTGTATTCATAATTTTGTGATTTACATTAGGCTTTTGTGAAAATCATTGTTTTTTTATTGTAGAATATGAAGTGTGCAATGAAGTAATTGAGCGGGAGAGAATTTTTGAAGATATAGTTGGCCATTTCCATTGAAAACATAGGGTATTTTTGTTTTTGCAGCTGTAGCTTCTGGTTTGTTTTATCTTTAGAAGGGTTTAAATTGTAGTAATTTTAAAAAGTTGATGTACTAGTTTGAACTTGGCATTCTTAGGTTTTTTGTTTCACATTAGATACTTTCAAAAATCATTTTAATTTTTACGTAAAAACGTTTTCTAGCATGTTTTTGTTTTTTTATGGCTAAGTTTTTGTTACCTGACTTCCTTAATGCAGCTTAACACAATTCTCAATCATGTCTTGGTGCACTATCGAGCCTGATCCTGGTATGATTCAAGGTCAAATTACATGTGCAATATCTCTTTCATTATATAGTGCTCTGGTGAAATTAATTACTTCGTTTGCATTGGAAGGATTAAATAAGTATCAGTTTGAGTGTTCTAATAATGGCAGAGTTGCAGAATCTTAAAAGCATTCTTAGTAGTAGCTTCCAATTTGGTGGTCATCTTTTTTTTTTTTTCTTTTTTTTCTCCCTTGAGTTATTTGCTTTTTTTCAATTTAAGCAAATTAGTGATGATACTGAAATATCATAGGCAACAGAAAGATAGGAATTTAGGATTTGTTAGTGAAGCTAAACAACTTTATGAATAGAGCCAGGAAACAAAAGGGAGGGGCTTGGTTTTCAGATGTGAGACTGAACTAAAGGAGTTGACTATCTCTACTAAATTTAGGAGTTGATTATCTCTACTAAATTTACTAAAGGAGTTAAGTGATCAGATTACTCTTTAACTGGTTCAAGGATACCTTTACCTGACTATCTCTACAAATATCGTTAGCTAACAGGCTCACTTTCTTCTACTTTACCATTTTTAACTCTGGTTTGGTTGCCGAGATTCGGAGAAGCAAGGGAGGGAGGGAAGCGATGTCATCTTGAAATGGTGTTGAATGATTTTACCTTTTCATTGAGAGAAGGAATTCCAAGAAAACTAAAAAGCTAGAAAGAGGCTTTATTTTCTTTCTAAAAAAGGTATAAGTATTTTGCTTAGATTTTTTGTTTTTTTAAATTTTTTGTTTTAAGGTGCAGAGCCGACTAATGAGGAGCATTGTGAGACAGTTGGTAAAGAAGGGTGGTATATACTTGACGAAAATCAACAGCATGTTGGTCCCTATGCAATTTCAGAGTTGCGTGGTGAGTTATTATTTAGTTTTTCATCATGGAACAATTGTCTTGAATTTGTGCTATGATTGTTTGTTAAAGAAAGAATCCTTGTGAAATTATCTGTTTAGTTGTTTGATTCTTGGTACTTCAAATTCACTGGTGAATATTTCTCCTCTCTTGAATTTCAGTTCTACCAGTAATCAATCAATAGCACGCTTTCAGGACTATTGTTCCATCTGTAACATGTCCAATTCCTCTAACGAGCTATTGAACCATCTACTTTGCTTATTTACTTCGCCTGGACAGAGCATTTCTTAAACGGCTACCTCTTAGAAACCACCCTCGTCTGGTCTCAAGGAAGAAGTGAATGGCAGCCACTGTCCTCAATCCCACAATTGTTGTCAGGAATTTCTCAACTCGGGGCTGCTTATTCCACTGCAGGTGAATACATTTTTAATGATTTTATTCCAATACACATTTCTGTCTTTAAGACTTGGGGTTTAATCACTCTTTTATTTTATGCAGAACCCCACAAGGATCTCAAGGATCATGATCAGGTGGCAAGACAGGAGGCAATAGAATCCACCAGCTTGGAAAGGGGATCTCTTCCCAGCTATGAACAGGAAGGTTAGAAGACCTGTTTTATTTGTTAATTTGATTGTTATAAGTTACATCATTTTTATTTTCTAGAAAATGTTTCTTGCCCTGTGATGTATTTTGCAGTACCTTCCAATGTTGATGATGAGTTTGAGAAATGGCAGAGAGAGGTTAGAGAGGCAGAGTTAGAGGCAGAAAAATTGAAAAACGGATCTGTTTCCAGCAATGTCGGCGGTTGCTCGGGTGGTGTTGATGATCACGATGGAGTTCCAGCATCCCCAGATGGGGAGGAAGAATTCACTGATGATGATGGTACTACATACAAGTGGGATAGGAGTCTTAGAGCATGGGTTCCTCAGGTTGGTGCTTGGATTTTGCAGTATCTTGTCGATTTTTATTTATGGATATATGTAAAATTTGTTGACCATGATATTAGATTGAGCTGGAAAAGTATCTTTTTCTTCTATTTTTTTTCCTTTTCTTTTTGTTAATATAATATTTGTACTTGGATTATCCTTAATTTTGCATTTTAGTTGTGAACTTTCATGTGCTTATTTGGGCTTGTCCCTAATTGCTTGAATGAGCCACTTCTGTATGTTGGTTTATATGAATACTAAAAGTCAGCAAATATTTTCTAGCTGAAGTAAATTTAGGAAAATATCTTGTGCTAACTGACTTTCATTTATCTTTATTCATTTATAATATGTGGGTGCTGCTTAAACTTCTATCCAAGGAAACCAATATTACTGTTGCATTCACTTGTTGAGCTGCAGAGGTGGTTTTCGGAAGTAGGAAGTTCTGGGAAATTGACTTGAAGAAGGAAGGGGACAGCAAGTGATTGATATGAATTATTATTTGCAGATGATATTATTTTTTTCTTGTCAGAGGATAGGGAGGGGATTGGTAGGCTTAATTAATTTAAGGTTCTATGTGTCAGTCTATGATCTTGAGAATGGATTCTGGTTTAATTTCAAATTTCCTCACTTGATCTTTTATGAGGGGTAGTGCCCCTTTTTCGATTTTGCTGAAAATATAAATGTATAACTTTTTGTTTTATAAGCATTGGCAATGCCTTCATTTGTTCATATGTTATCTTTTAATTATATAACTGGCCAATTTTGTGGGTCATAGGAAAACATTTCAAGCGGAAATGAGCAATATAGGGTAGAAGAGATGACTTTCTTGGAAGAAGAGGAAGTCTTTCCAACCGTGAATGTTGCTGATGCATCTGTAAAGGAAGACATTATGGAGGATCAAGTTGATGACACCAATAAGGTAGCAGAAGCAAAACATAATGGCAAGAGAAAACAGCCAGACAAGGAAGAGGAAAAGAAGGTTTTTGCCTGTTCTCCTTACATTGCTTGAACGCAGCTTATTATGTAGTAGTATATGAAAGCATACATCTCCTTCTGTAGTTGCTTTCTTGCACACAAACTTTGGCTTTTAAGCATCATGTTTATCATCTTTGTTTTAGTCTAGCCATTGTCAGCATTATTGATAGAATAATTCTTCTGGTACCATATTATTCCTTGCATTGGTAAGAGAATTCGTGGGAAATAATCTCTCCATGCAGTTTCTTTTAACTACAATTACACCCTCTAATTGAGTTCTTGGCTGTTGTTATCTAGTAGAGACCTTTTATCATTGAGTAAAATGAAGTCTAATAGGTATAGTTACAATTATAACAAAGAAAAAAATGGTATTGTTCTGTAATTTGTGGATTTTGATACGTGTTTTTGTAGTCCAAATACAAATTGCAGAATTTTATTTACACATTTGATTTCGTGCTGAGCTTGTTGCCTTTTCACAGGAAGCCAATAAACCTCCTGATACTTGGTTTGAGTTGAAAGTCAATACGCATGTTTATGTGACTGGGTTGCCTGATGACATCACTACAGAGGAAGTAAGTCATGTCACTGTTTCATATTTAGTATTAATCTTTCATTTTTGCATGACTCTAATATGGGGAATATATTGCAGGTGGTGGAGGTATTTTCCAAGTGTGGAATAATCAAGGAGGTAGAATGCCAATTATGAGCAATCTCTTACATGAAAATTTCTCATGGTATTTATGCATGGTTGAAGGGCCTGAGTGCCTTTTATGAGTTTGAAAGCACTTGTGCTCATCATACGGTTGTCGAGAAAAGAATGAAGTGTTCATGTGTCTATCTGTCAAATTGTGGAAAGTTTTGTTGTCTTTTAAATATCCTTCATGATTAATCACTTTAATACTTGTTATTTGGGTTAGTTTTTGCAGATCATTTTTACTACTGTCAAATTTGTATTGATTACATAGTTTAAAATCACGTTGGTTTCTGTGTTGAGAAGAATGACAAAAAATTATGAAATGAGACATAAGAGAACTCAACATGACATATCGTATTTATTGGCATGTATCTCAATCCTTAGATATTTTGACCACCTTTCTTCATATGCCACATGTATCTTGAATAATCAATGTCTTAGATGTTATCAAAATTCTCAAGCCTTGCAAGGTGATTTCAGGATTATTGAACCCAGTTAAACCTGAAAATTTATTGCATGTGATAATTTTTTAGGATCCTGAAACAAAAAAACCTCGTGTCAAAATCTATGTGGATAAAGAGACAGGAAGAAAGAAGGGTGATGCACTTGTAACATATCTTAAGGTACTTTCTTTATTTGCTTTCCCTTTTGTCTGTAACATTTTATGTTATTGAATCTCAGTTTATTTTATTGCATTTGAATATTAGGAACCATCAGTTGCTTTGGCTATTCAAATTTTGGATGGAGCTCCTTTTCGTCCAGGTGGAAAGATCCCTATGACTGTCACCCAAGCTAAGTTTGAGCAGAAAGGTATTAGTATTATTTATTATCCTTTGTACTTTCAGCTTCAATGGAAAATTCGAAGGGTGATTATGATCATTGTTGTTTCTTTTCGGGTGCTAAGCACATTTTATGTTTGTTTGAATGCCCAGTTATTTGAGGTTTAGTAGTTGAAATGATTATCTTTTTCATAACACTGAATACAGGGGATAGGTTTATATCCAAGCAAGTAGATAACAAAAAGAAAAAGAAGCTGAAGAAGGTTGAAGAGAGGATGCTTGGCTGGGGTAGGTTTCTCATCTTATATTTTATTTTTATATTTATGTTTTTCATTTTGATAAAACACACCTTGCATCTTAAATTGTTGTGACAGAGCATAGTTACGGACTTTAAACACTTGATTGGTCAATCTTATCCCATGTACATATTGTGAGCTCTTATAGCAGTACACAGAAACTAATTTTGGTTTTTCATGTCATTGTTTAGTTCGGATGTTTGAATCATAATATTAGGTTAGTTTGTCGGACTTAGAGGAATTGCTTTTTTGGTTTATCTGCTTTAACTTTGATTGGATGACAGGGAAAATGGAGTTGAGAGGTATTTCATCTTTTTTCATATAATTGAGGTGTTTATTAATGACTATTTTCACCTTCTGTTGATACTTTGACTTTTGGATAACACATTTTATGAGGATATGTTCATATATTTTGTTTTGTCCACCTTGTATATCTTGTGAAGGAATGAACTTAGATCGAAGCAATTTTTTCTCCTTCTGTCAGCCCTTCTAGTCATCTTATAGTGTGGGAATTAATGTTTTCTTTTTTCTACAACAATTTGGGATTTTTCATGTATTATGAATGTGACAAATTTTTATCTTATACTGGAATAACTTAGATGTTTGCATTTCAACCAGCCTTGTGTACAATCTTCTTTTAGATTCAAATAATTTGGGTTTGATCTTTCTTTCTTTAAACAAAAAATCCGCACACATAGATTTGTCAACACAGTCATCGTGTGCATCTGAAATAGAGTTGGCATTCTTAGAGACAGAACAGCCATTGATGATAAAACTGTAGTATGAGTCCATGTGAATTCAGAGAGGCTGAAGCCTTGAAATGTCAAATTATACTATAATACTCATTACAATGTTAATTTCTCAACAGGTGTTTCCAAGCATTTACTTTAATTGTGATGTTTTGATCCCCATATTTGACATTGGTTGCATATGTATCATGCACTTCTAACAATACATTTACTCTAAATTACTTAGGTGGCCGTGATGATGCAAAGGTGACAATTCCAGCTACTGTAGTTCTTCGTTATATGTTCACTCCTGCGGAAATGAGGGTAACTCCAAAACTCTCTTTACTTTGTTGGACATTATAAATGATTGGAGTGAAGACAACCCCATCTTACATACACTTTGATGGATCCCATCTGTATTTACTATGTAAAGATGATGCAAAAAAAGTTAATTGTGCCTTTTCATGATTGATTTTCATTCAAGTTATTGCTCTTTTTTGCTATTCTATTTCTTGAGATTCCTTCAGAAGAAGGCCTCATATATAGGCAACTTTTCTGTTCCTCTTATAGAATATTTAAGGGTACAAAAATATGTCTTTTCCTGGTTGAGTTGCTAAGTATCACCATTTCTGTGTAGAATTGCCATGCTTGCATATGTTTTCATCAGATAAAGTATAATCAGTCATTATCATTCTGGGAAACTAATTGTGCACATTATTCTAATGTTAATAATTGAATCAGGATATTTGTATCTATTTTTCCTGCTTAGATTGTCAACCGAAGATGTAACACTGAGGATGTGGTTGTTTGGAATGCAATTAAACTGGCTTCAAGCTGAATTTCATATATGACCCTTGATTTGACCTTTTTTTATGTGTTAACAGGCTGATGAAAATTTATGTTCAGAATTGGAAGCAGATGTTAAAGAGGAATGTGAAAAGCTTGGTCCAATGGACTCAGTCAAGGTACTAATTTAAATATTGAAATATATTGAATTCTCACTACCGAAGACACCGGTAAACATGCCATCTTAGTATGAATTTCACAAGATAATGTTGAGTGTTGGCTGGTAGTTTCTGCATGTATGTGTTATTAGGATATATTTATTTAGGGGTGTCAAGAAAGCCGGGTAGAACTGGAATCGGTGGGTACCCGGGGTTCCGGTTCCTCCTGGAATCGGCCTTCACAAGGTCGGTTCTGGTTTTTGAAGTGGTGGTACTGATACTGTGCGTTTCTGGTTCTAGTTCCACTACTTTAGGAACCGGGGGCAAACTTAAGTTTCACAAAAATTAGGCAAACTTCGATTTCATTTGCTTGCTTCCCCGCCTCAGCTTGCGAACTCCTCGCCCATGACCTACCTCACAAGCCTTGCCATGACAGAGCCTTCGCGTTGTCACTGCCGCCCGTCGTTTCTCCGGCCTGCCCGGACTAGGTTTCTCTTGGGAGTTGGTTGATTTGGTTGTGTTTGATTGGAGATTGTTTGGTTGGAAGTTGATGAAAAAGCCTTCCAAAACAACCTGCCTCCCAACCTGTTTGACAAAAAGCCTCACGCAACTGCTGTTCTTTCACCCAGCTACTCCCAAGCTGCCACCGACCTGTTTGATAAAACTCCCCACCTAGTCCTATTCATGTGTTCAGTTATACAATTTAATATTTAGGGTTTTCAATTGCCTCAAAACATTTTTGTAATTTCTGTAAACAGATGGGGATGTATTTGTAATTTTTACAGGGTTTATTTGTCATTTTTGTAACTAATAGGGTGTATTGTAATTATCCCAGGTACGGAAACCAGAACCTGTGTTTCAGGTTCTGGTTCCAGTTCCAAATTCCAGGAACCGGCCGGTTCTGGTTCCGATTCCATGGAAATTGGGTGGGTACCCAGACCTGCCCACCCCTATTTTATTGAAACGTTTCTTGAATTTTTTGAGACTAATACAAGATATCAATGCATGGCAGGCCTTTAATTTTCTCAAAATTTATTCAATTTACTATGTCCTAACTTCTTGCAGTTATTCTAGCCAGTGAAGTTTATGTGTTCCTATTCTCTCATAATCTGTATCTTCCTTAGACTTGGTACTAGAAAGGATTGTTTCATTCCTAGGATGGTCCTGAACTGGTTCAGAAGTTGTAGTTTCTCGTGTAGACGTTGATTGATTCTCTTTAGTTCCATTGGTTTTCCTATGTTTGCTGTTCTTTCTGGTGAATCTTTTCCTTTTTTCCATAAGTACGAACTGTTATTATCTTTTATTTGTTTTAAGCATTTTCTTACATTTCTCTGGCTCTCTCCAAGACTTGAATGGATGATATTTATGCATCTAAGTAGTCGTGGTTTTTTTTTTTTATTCTTATATTGGATTGTTTTGTAGGCAGTTTGTTCTTGATATCTTTCTAGTTTGTTTAGTTTTCTAGCTTTGGTTTAGCATTTTGAATTTTCATTTAGGTTCTACACATCTATTTACTTCTAAGGCCATCTAACATTTATTTCGCTAGTGACAACTCTTAGGCCCATTTAAAGTCTGATTTAACACGATATTTTTTTTCTTTACCTTGCAGAATTGTTCCCTTATTTTCTTTTGGACTTGCTTGCAGGTTTGCGAGAATCATCCACAGGGTGTTGTTTTGGTAAAATTTAAGGATAGAAAGGATGCTCAGAAGTGCATAGAATTGATGAATGGACGATGGTAATCTTTACAATCTAATTGGTTTTTTTTTTTTTTTTTTTTTTTTTAAAAAGAATTTGCAGTCATAACTTTGATGTTGTTTAATATTAATGTATACTGCTAACGTGAAAATTTTATGTGCCCTTGGTTTTATACTTGTCCTTCTGATCCTTTTCTTGTGATAATGAGAGTATTAATTCAAGTAAAAGCCAGTCTCCCTCTGACTTCACATACCCCTTTTTGAAATTTCTTAGGTAATTACCAACCTACTTGAATTTAGTATTGCTCTCTTCTTTCTGCATGCATATGCTAGTAGATCGTGCAAATTGGAAGCTAACATCACTAGAGTTACCTCCTTTCGTGCTGAAAGCTTCCCTGATAGCATTTATATGTAGTGGTCAGCTGGAACTTGAGAATGTAAATGTTGTGAAATTAATCAAACATCATCAGTTGGGAGCAAAATCAGCATGTCGATATTCAATTTCTTCAAGTACTTTTTGTTCCCTTTCAGGTTTGGTGGTAGACAAATACATGCCAGTGAGGATGATGGAGTAGTTAACCATGCAAAGATCCGGGATCTGGAGGCAGATGCTGTTCGACTCGAGCAGTTTGGTTCTGAACTTGAAGGTGATTTAGATTATTCATATTAAGCACTGCTAGAAAGATATTTCTGATGGCAGTTTTGCATTGGAACTTTTCTTAGTTGAATTTTCCAAGTTATAGACGATTAGAAGAGGTTCTGATGGGAATTCATCTTGTAATTTGAAACCCTCGAGGATTTAAATAATACATAACCTATTATCACATATTTTGTAAAAAATTCATGAGTTGGTTAATAGAATTTCTTCTTTGGAAGCTCAAGGCTAGGCCAAATTTGGTAGAGGCTGTGTTTGTGTTCAATGTTAAATTGACATTTGATTTTTGTTTCGATTTTAACTGAAGTGATGAATTCCTCTTTTGTTCTGATCTATGCACAATCGTATCTTTCTTGTATACAAATACATGGTTTAGTTAAAGTTAATTTAACACCATTATAATTTGTGAGATGTATGATAAGGTGTATTTGAATAAAATAATTCATCATTGTGGTGGTTAGGTAAAGGATAAGGTAATAGCCTTTGTTTCCCCGCACTGAAAAATATGTATTTTTGGAATTAAAAATGACTATAGCGGATTGAAGTTGTTTCCGTGTCTAGCGTGCTCGTAAAATTTGAAGACAATAGGAGTTATGTAGGCCTGAAAATGGGCTTCCTGGAAATTCCTAACACTAAAAAATTTAGGGTGCGTTTGGTGTAGTATTTTGGATAGGATTTTGAGGATAATATTGGATTGTTGGATAGGGGAGTATTACGAGGTAAATTTGAAAAATTTATGAAAAAGTCCATAGGTTTACTAATTTAATTAAAGACCCTACTATATAAAATAATAAAAACACTCCCACCACCTGCAGTGTCAGATTCCGGTCGCCACCGTCGGAATCTGGGCGGAAAATTTCGTTACGGCACAGACCGATCGGATCTGTGTCGTAACGCATCATTATGGCCTTTTCCGGTCAGATCCACCACGGATCTGGCCGGAAAAGGCCAGATCTAAAGGCCTGTTATGGCCGTCGCGGCTGGAAAGGCCAAAACGACGGCCAAAGATGTGGCCGTCGTTTTCGGTCAACGACGGCCAAGATTTGGACGTCGTTGACCGTCAACGACGGCCATTTCTTTGGCCGTCACTGACGGCCAGATCTAGCCTTTTCCGGTCAGATCCGTGGTGGATCTTGCCGGAAAAGGCCAGATCGGTGTAATNACTCAAGTAATGAATTCCTCTTTCTGATCTATGCACAATCGTGTCTTGCTTGTATACAAATACATGGTCTAGTTAAAGTTAACTAACACCATTATAATTTGTGAGATGTATATTAAGGTGTATTGAATTCATATAACAATTATCTATTTAAAAAATAATTCATCATTGTGATCGTTAGGTAAAGGATAAGGTAATAGCCTTTGTTTCCCCGCACTGAAAAACATGTATTTTTGGAATTAAAAATGATTATACCAGAGCTAGTTAGTAAAAACGTGTTTTAACGTATGTTATAAAAATTGTCGTATTATACGCGTATAATATGAATACTCGTATAATTCGCGAATTATTTGCATATAATTTACGAATTATTGCAAAAAAAAAAAAAAAAAACCCTATTGCTCACCCCAAAACGACGTCGTTTTAGTGGGGTTTGATTCAAAATTAAACAGAATCTCTTCTCTTCTTAGGTTCTTGTTTTTTCCTTAGTTTTTCGACGGATGACATTTTCAGTTTTTCTTCCTTAGTTCTTCCACGTTTTCAGCTTTTCTGCCAATACTTTCCCTTCCTCAGCTCAGGCGAACTGGTTGAGATTTTTAATAGGTTTGTGTTTGTGTTTGGGGGAGAAGAATGGCGAACTGGTTGAGATTTTTAATGGGTTTTTGTTTATGTTTGTGTTTGGGGGAGAAGAATAAGTTTGAGGAAGGGAAAGTATTGGCAGAAAGAATAGCCTATAAAGCAGATGTCATTGTTGGAGCTCTAAAAGAAGCAGTTGGCCTTGTGGGTGAGACATTGAGAGATGATTTGATTGAAGAAGAGAGAGGGAGGGGGGTTTTTCAGATGGGTCATGGGTGTTTTGTGTTTGTGGTGGATTTTAGTATACGTGTCAACACTCAACACTGCAGATTACGTTTCTATTGCACAAACAAAAAAATAAATAAATATCTTTTCTACTAGTGAGTTAGAACAAGACATGGGCCTGGGAATTTGTTAAGGCAAAGAAAAGATTAAGCAAAAGCAAAGATTTAGTTGAAGTCAATGCAAACATACATTAATAATTAATCCATAAAAGTGTTAAAATAAGGTTAATATAGTCGTATTTTTCCAAACATATTATTGACAATGTACCGTATTAAACCCGTATATATCCATACCGTATTTTTCCCATATTCGAATTTTATGACTAAATTTTTATAAACGTATTTTTTACTGTTTGCCGTATTATACCCGTAAAATTCCCGTACCGTTTTTTTTTGCCGTACCTATATTTACTAACTAGGATACCAGACTGAAGTAGTTTCCTTGTCTAGCTTGCTCGTAAAATTTGAAGACAAAAGGAGTGATGTAACGCATGAAACGAATCACGATCGGTCAGATCTGGTTAATCTGGCTAGAAATTTTCTGCTAGATCCATTATGGATTTGGTTGGAAATGGTCAAATCGATGGCTAGAGATTTGGTTGTTGACAACTAAAAATCTAGTTGTCATCAATGGCTAGATAGATCTAGCTATAGATTTGGCCGTTTTCAGCCAGATTTGGTTGTAAATCTAGTCGGTCGTGTGCCATTTTGGAAACTGTCGGCCACCATCTGGTAGTGGTAGTCAGTTGTTGACAGTCGGTTCAGTGGATAGGATTGTTTTTGTTAATTTATAAACTTCTATTGTTTTGAAGTGATGGTGTTTAGTTAAACTAACAAATGTAAGGGGTTAAAAATAATTTAAATATTTTCAGAAAATGTTTTTTAAAAATATACCAAACACATTCTTTTAATCTAAATATTTTTTAAAAATGTTTTCCAAAAATGTATCATATCATATTTCAAATAATGTACCAAACAGGGCCAGTATGAGTTATGTTGGTCTTAAAACATGTCTCTCAAAAAACTCATTACAATAGAAAATTTTTGACTGTTTGGTTTATTATTTGGAGTAGTATTTTTGAAAAAGTTGAGTTGGGTGATTATTACGAGGTATGATTTGAAAATTAACGAAACACCCCTTAGATTTGTTAATTTAGCTAAACACCTCTTGAATAAAACATTAAAAATTAATAAAAACACCCTCATCTATACATTAAATGCTAGTAGCTGGCTACCACCGCTGGAGGGTGCCCGAAAGTCACCGTAATGGCGCACGACTAGTTGGACCTAGCTGGTCATGTGTTGATATTGGCTTTTCCGACTAGTTCTACAATCAAATTTGGCCGTAGATCTAGCCTTTGCAGCTAGATTCACGGTGGATATGACCAAAAGGCTAGATCGGCGCACTGTCGGTCAGATCCAACTGGTAGTGTGCCATTATGCCAAATTTTGACAATGGTGGCGAGAATCTGGCAAATGTGGGTGGGTGGAGGTGTGTTTATTAATTTATAAATTTTTTTGATTGGGGATGTTTAGTTAAATTAACAAACCTAATGGATTTAAAAATAGTTAAATTGAATTGAATTTTAAGAATAAAGAAACAAATATGTATTTGAATAAGATAGAAATAGGATATTGCAAAAATAATAAAACAAACGGCCCACATATTTTTGGCTGTTGTCAGGATTAGAAGAGATTATCCCACATTGATGTAGCCTCTTTGCCTAGCTTGCTCACTAAATTTGAAGACAATATGAGTTCTGCAGGCCTTAAAACGGGTCTCTTGAAATTCCTAGCACTGAAAAATTGGTACTTTCAACCTTCATTGAAATTCGAAGAAAATATCCGACATTGAAGTAGCATGTGATTGTAGCTTGCTCGCAAAATATGAAGATAATAGAAGTTAGCCAGAATTGTAATATGCCTCAACTTTTGTGCATTTCCAGTCTTT